AGGCGGTCGTGAAACGCTCTGACAAGAAGTGGGCTATCTGCTTGAGCGTGTGCTGCGATAGGCGAGATGTGCCCGAAGTCGTGTCGCGGTCCTGGCAGGAGCGGTGGGGAAAAGCTGGGATCATACGATGCCGCAATTAGGGAAAGTGGGGGGTCTGTCACTGGGCCCGTGACTTTATCGATCTGCTTGGCGGGTCTGCCAGCGGGAAGTCTGGCTTGAGGGGGTCCGGCTCTTCGCTGGTGCTGCGCGCAGGGGTTGTTTAATGGCTGTTCGGGACTGCGCAAACAGTGTGCAACACTATGTTCTTTCGGAGCGCGTCTTGCGCCCTGAAGGCCTGTCTCGATCTCCCAAGCGACGCACAATCAGGCGAACGCGTGTCCAAATCTCGGCTGACTTGTGTGACCTGGTTGAAACGATCGCACAAATCATCCAAAATCGGGTCTGGGGATGGAGGGGTCGAGGACCCCCGCCGACTGGCGAAGCGATGAATCAAAGACAAAGTCGCGCCGACAGCTGAAAGATAGCTCCTGTCACTCGGAGGGGGGAGGGGAGCGGAAAGGGAGAGAGAGAGAGAGAGAGAACAAAAAAAAAAGGAGGAGGGAATAGAAATGATACAAGGATGCGCGATACTCAGCGCTCTGGAAGAAGCTGAGGACAGCATTGGGTGAGCATGACGGGATGTGTCTTCGAGGGGAAGGCGCCAAGTCTGCAAGGCCCCCGCCTCGCGCTGCGCGAGCCAGTTTGTCCGCTACCCCACAGGGTGGAATTGTCGGGGGAGACGGAGAGGAGGAGGAGGAGGAGGAGGAGGAGGAGGACGAGGAGGAGGAGGAGGAGGAGGAGGAGGAGGGCAACGCCGAAAACGGCGGTCCTGCCACCTGGCGCACAGGGGGGGGGGGGGGGGAGGGGGGCGCGCCGCAGGCCGCGGCGGCCCCGCTCAGGGACTCCCCGTACAGCGTCAGCAGCCCCCCGAAGTAGATGAGCCGCCGCACGAAGTCCTTGCGCCGCAGCTGCGGCTGTCTGCCCACGCTGAGTGCCATCCCACGGCGCCAGATTCTTCGAATCAACTCAGCGTGGTCTCCGTCGTGCTTGACTTCGACTATGAGCTCGCAGATGGCTGAGACTCCGAGATCGTGGTAGTCTGCATCACTGCCTGATGCTGGTCGCCGCACTTCACCCGCAAACGGCTGGGTGGCTCTTCCAATTTGTCTCGCATGGAAACACCACCTGCGCCACCAGCCGCGTCGACCTCCATGCATTGGCCACTTCCAGCTGCATGCTTCGAGGCGGGCCTGCCCACGCGCTGTTTACCTCGTGGGTGCACCAGGGGGCAGGCTCCAGCAAACGCATTGGCGACTGAGCCCAGCCCCACGCGCTGTTTACCTCTGCGGGTGCCCCTGGGGGCTGGGACATGCGTTCTAGCGCCTCCGTCGTCGGCAGCGCGATGACGCTCAGCAGCGCGATGACCAGCGTCTGCGCTCCAGCGACCAATCTGGGTGCCATCCCGCAGCGCCAGATTCCTCGGAATCAACTCAGCCATTGGTCTCCTTGATGCATTGATGGCTAACATCTTGAGCTCGCGACGACCGGCAGGAAGAAGCCGAGATCGTAGTAGCCTTCACCGCACTCCATCTCTGGTCGCCGCACTTCCTCCGCAAACGACGGGGTGGCTCTTCCAGTTTATTTCGCCTGGAAACGCAACATGTGCCCCCCGCCGCGTCGGTCTCCATGCTTTGACCTCCACTTCCATCAGCCGCCGGCGACGGTGATGATGCACTCCTGCTCGCGCGTGTCCCCAGCCCAGAGGAATGCGCATCTCTGGCCATCTGGGGCTGCATATCAGCAGCCAGCGCGGGCGCAGCGCTCTCGCCAAGGAAGGTGTTCTGCCCGTCGCGCTGTAGCTCTCTATCATTTTCCTTTATCTGGATCCGCTCGTGCAGCGCCGCCATCCTTCTCTCGAAATCGTAGGGACCGTCAGGTACAGCTCGCACTGCAGTGGTCTTCTCCTTGATGGCTGCGGCCGCTACCTTGGCCACGGCACCTATCTGCGCGGTTGCGTCGATATACTTGGCCTGCTTTCGGCGTGGACCGACGCCCTGCCCCAGGTTGCGCAGCGCCTCGGCCCCTTTGGCAGCGGGGTAGGTGCACTTGGATCTGAGCTTGATCTCCCCACGCTGTTGCGCCCGCGCGCCACGGCCAACGCGTGCGAAGACAGCCGCGCCAACTGCAGATGCAAGATCACCTCGTTGATTCACTGCCACGAGCCTGCGGCCAAGAGGTTCTCGCGAGAAATCGACCAAGAAGGAGAGAGCGCACCGCGGCAATCATGCATGACATCCTGCTCGCCCTGGCTGCGGAGCTGCAAGCATTGAGTGCGATGAGTGCCCAGAGGCGTGTCAACCCATTGATGCCATCCTTGAATTTGTGTGCCCCGTACCTTCTCGCGCCCATGGGGTCGCGTCCACCTCTGGGCCCCCTGCATGTGCCGGGGGGGGTGCCCGCCGCCGGCTTAGCCAACTTGAGGCACCTGCCCTCAGTTTGCTGTATGCGTTCGGCAAGCTCGTCCGCGATAGCCTCGTGCATCCTGGCGCCCTGCTTGGCGAAGTGATCGGCCATCGCGCTGCCGTCTGTTAACCCCCTCATGGTATCATCCAGCTTCGCGTAGTCTTCGCCAGACCTGTGGGCTTTGATGTGAATCACCTTTTCCACGTGAGACTGCCCAGGCATGCTCTTCGCGAACTGCAGCGCGCCGCTGTGCATCGAGTTGGCTGCCCACTGCCTGTGATCCGAGGCGATGGCCGCTTTCGCCGTGCCCATGAAATCAGCATGCGCCCAGCACCGTCGGTCTGCCACTTGCCCAGTGCACGCATAAGCCAAGTACTCCTCCATCGCCGAGGTTTGGGCAAGCGTCGGCGGCACAGGAGCAAACATACTCCTCAACGGCACATCCGACTGAGGATCGAACAAAGTGATTGCCCATCCTGCACGCTGCAGGACCAGCAGCCCAGGCTTCGAGCACGAACCGCCGATGGCAATCTCGACGAAGTCGGTGCCATCAGGAACCGAATCCGCCACCGGGGCTTCAGGAACTGATTCCACGTCGTGCCCGCGCGCGTCCACTATGCACGCCTGAGTACCTGCATTCATCTTCGGGATGTCGGCATCGGTGAACTTGAAGCAGCCGCTGAGTAGAGTCCTCTCGTCAGGAGAGGCATGGATACTTTGCAGGAGCCCCTCGCCCACTGCTGCCTCGCGCCGCGCATCTTGGACTGGCGCCAGCGTGCAATCAGCCAGAAATGCGCCAGCGTGTCCACCATCCCGCGCTCGCACTTACCGTCAGTGATATAGCCCTCACGTAGCGCTCGAGACCGTGTCCACACTCCAGGCATATACAGCTCATGATGCAAAACTTCTGATGCTGATTGTGAACTTCCTCGGTCCTGCTCTGGTAAAGGGACGTATGATATCGAAGGATACTCGAGCATAAGTGTCATCAAACCACTTTTGACCTACACGTAGTTCATGCTGACGGCATAGGGCTACCTTCCTCCAAGAGCCGCTGCAACATGACTGGGGTCAAGTGGTCCCCTTACACGACTTCGCCATTATGATTCAGCCACCTGTCGCCAGAGAGTGCCTGCCAACCTGCACGGCCAATGGAGAGAGCTGCACGCTGCAATGGACCACGTGTAAGAGACCATTTCGCTACGATGCCAGGAACATGGGCTGCAGCTCGCCACCAATCAAGTAACTGCGCCGTCGTGACCATGGCCAGATCGGGGAAAGCTTGGGATAGCCACAACATTCTGCACCATTGCGTAGCTGGCGCAAAAGCTCCCCTTATCGCAGGATCCCAGTGCAATACCATCTTCGCAGCCGATGAGACTCCACCGTGATACGGCTTCTGGTGCTTCTGATACTGCTTCCTCAGGGCGTTGAGCTCGCTATCGCTGACGCCGTTGACCTACCTCTACGCCGTATATCAAGGCTGGTCTTGCCCCAGTCTCATGCACCCTGGCTATCCTCGTCGATGCCTTTGTCGGGGGAAGAGGAGGAGGAGGAGGAGGAGGAGGAGGAGGAGGAGGAGGAGGAGGAGGAGGAGGAGGAGGAGGAGGACAAGGAGGAGGAAAAGGAGGAGGAGGACAAGGAGGAGGAGGAGATCGGCGTCTTTGAGGACGCCTTTTGGGGGGGGGGGATGGGGCGTCGCGCCCCCCGCCCATCCACGCGCGGAGCGCAGCCGGCCCCCGCCTCCGCGCGGCCGAACGCGCCGCTGCGCCGCGCGTCGGCCCGCGCGGCCGCACTCCGCAAGCGGACCGGCAGGCCCGCGGCCGCTCGCGCCCCCTCTGCCGCGAGGCCGGCGGCAGCTCGTCCTCCTGGCCGCCCCGCCGCCGCGCCTCTCTCCTGCTCGGCTGCGTCCTGCTCCTCCAGGCGGGCGCCCGCCACTCTGCGCTGGTGGCGGCGGGCAGCTCCTGCCCTCTCTGCGTCCTCTGTGGTGCGCCCTCGGGCGAACCGTCCTCGCTGCCGTGGCGCTCACGTGTCCAGCTGCTGCCGCTGCCGCGCGGGCCAGGCGGGCAGCGAGCTCCGCGCGGAGCCGATCAGCTGCGCAGTCACCTGGTTGCTGCTGCCGCTCTGCCAGCGCGGCCTGGGTGAGCTTGGCTTCGCTGGCATACACCTTGTCCAAGCTCTGCACCTCAGCCGCGCCACGTTCCTCCTCCTGTGTCTGTCTGGCTGGTGCGATATCCGCTGTCCTCCTTGCCGCCTTGGTTATGCCCGCCTGTGCGGGCCCTTGGCAGCCCTTTTTTGCGCCCTCCGCCCTGTGGCGTTGGGTCACGTGGCTGTGCAGCCGCCACAGCGGCGCGCCCCTGTTTCCCGCTGTGTTTGCCGCTGGGCCCCAAGTCGACGCCCATGGTTGCCTCCAACGTCGGGGCGCCCTCCGGGGCGGCTGTGGTGCCTGGTGCATCTGCGGGTCTCGTCCGTTGGCGGTCGTCTCCATTCGCGAGACCTTCTGCACCTCTGTTTGGCGGGGGCCTGAGCTGCTTGGTAGCAGGGCTGCGGCTCCTCTGGGCCCTTCTGGGAGCCTCGGCGTTTGCTTCGCCAATACGCGCCCTCGGCCCCTGTGCCTCTACTGGTGCCGTCCTCGGCGTCCGTGATGGCCGCGCCGCCTCGCAACTTGGCCCTCCTGCCGCGCCAGCCGCTGCCGCCGCTGCTGCCAGCGCTGCCGCCACGACCGTCGCGCTGTTCGTCGCATTGGCTGCGCTGTCCATCGCCACCCTCGTCTGGGGTTCGGATGCCTCGCCGATGCCCTCTGAATCCACCTCGGACTCGTTCCCTCCTTGGGAGTTGTCTTGAAGCTTTCTGGAGGCCGTCATGGGCAGTCGTGGAACTATCTGCAGGGCATCTAGCGCCGTCCGAAGCCATCGTGGCCCGCATTGGAATCCTTTGGAGTCTCTGCTCAACCGCCAACACAACCAACATCAGCACAACAACAACCACCAACGCGCCAGCACTGGTATCCGATCCCAGCTCTTAGGTTGAACCAAGGTGAAGGGCAATGGAATAATACAAATTTGGGATCGATCGTGGGATATCGAGAGTGAGGGGCGAGGAGTGATGATAAGGATAGGGAGAAGAAACAAGTGAAGAACAGATGTGATCGTAGACTGAAAGAGATTCAGTGTCAGCGCGCGCACGTCAGAATACAATGATTTTGTAAATGCACGAGCGCACACGCTAAGTGACTGGTTTTGCCGCAAACGCTATGCAAAGCATGGCCGCAGAGTGCTCAGACTCGGCCCTTGCGCGCGCGCGCGTAGGAGCACATCCAGTCACGATGCACGCCCGTGGACGAGGCAACACCATCTCGCGTACGCACGCCATGCACTTAATCACCTCACTGCACAATGCGGACACCTTCGACCTCTGCGAGCAGGCTGCTCCACGCGACGCCACGCGCGGGGTGGGGGGGTCCTGCAGCACCTCAACCCTCACGCGGTCCAGGAGCTCGTCCAACCTCCCCTCCTGACGGTGGCGGCGGTACGACGGGGGGAAGGCGGCAGGGGGAGACGGATCCCCAAAAGGTTTGACGACTCTTTTCCAGTCCACCTGCGGACACACAGCCGGACGAGCCAATGCAAATCGATGCCACTCGATGCCAAACCAGATGGGCGGCGGAGGTAAAACCAGAGGCATCCAGAGGAAATTCGCACAGGTCGTGGAGCACCTAGCGCGAGCCGTTGAGACCTCATCGGCTGGAGCTGGGAAGTCCCCGCCGGGAGAGATCAGACGGGCTGGTCAGCGACCTGTGCTGACGGGCTAATTTCCCACAGGCGCTGCTATAGATAGGACGGGGGAAAAGGGAGGATGGGGAGCTCCTCCTCCTCATCCTCTTCCTCCTCCTCCTCATCCTCTTCCTCCTCCTCCTCCTCCTCCTCATCCTCGTCCTCCGCCTCCTCCTCCTCCTTCTCCTCCTCCTCCTCCTCCTTCTCCTCCTCCTCCTCCTCCTCCTCCTCCTCCCTCCTACTCCCTCTCCTCCCTATGTCGTGCACGGTGGGTCCAGGAGTGGTCGTTCATACCTGGGGGGGCGAAGAGAGGGAGGGAGGATGGCGATGGGGGGAGGAGGGCGATGGGGGGAGGAGGGGCGAGGAAAAGGGGAGGGGAGGAGGGCGATGGGGGGAGAGGAGCCTCCTCGTCCTCCTCCTGCTCCCTCCTAATTGTTTCTGTTCCTCCCTGTCCTTCTTTTCCCCCTCCTCGTCAAGAGATGATGATGATGATCATGGTGATGATGATGATGATGATGATGATGATGATGATGATGATGGTGATGATGATGAGGAGGAGGAGGGACAGAACAAGGGTGTGGAGAAGGGAGGAGGGGGAGAAGTGGAGCATCAGCAGCAGCAGGAGAAGAAACATAACCAGCGATTGCCGGCAGGAGGAGGGGGAGGAGGAAGTCTTTCGGGAGGCTTTCGTGAGGACCGGTGAGTTTTCGAGAAAGGCCTGCGCAAACAGTCGACATGTTTCTGGACGGTTCCAACGGTTTCTGGGGAGGGAGGAGGAGGAGGGAGGAGGAGAAAGAGGAGGAGGAGGAGGAAGGAGAAGAGGAGGAGGAGGAGGAGGAAGAATGAGGCCATTGGAAGTTCTACGAGGTGTCGACGCAAGGAACATCGAATGATTACTGAAGCGTCGGGGGGGGGGGGGGGCAGCAGACGAGGAGCCGCGGCAGGAGGCACGAGGCGGCGACGACCGGGGAGCGGTGGGGACGCCAGGCGGCACGGGCAAGCCGCGGTGCCTGTCCTCCTCTGCCCCGCGAGGCACGAAGGAAAAACTTTGCCTGATGATTGACCAAATCGCTTGATGAGAGACAACCGCCTTTGCAACACTGAATACAATATTATCGAAACTATGCAACAAAGTACAAGCAAGTGAACTGAATATGGAGAAGGTGACAGCGAATACATCTTGTCGAAACACTGAAACAAGGGCACAAGCATCTTTGAATTATGTGCCCACCCCCACGGGCCGAGCGCACCCATCATGGTGGGGTGTCTCTTGCCCGGGGACGCGCCTGCCTTGAGGGCTGCAGGCCAGCTCGTGCATCACCGCTGGCCAGCCTGACTGGGTCAGTGGCCCTGTGGGTCACCGCCGGCCAGCCTGACTGGGTCAGTGGCCCTGTGGGCCTGAGCGCCCCGAGGTTCGTCCCAGCCGACCGGGTCGGTGGGAGCCCCCCCGGGTTAGTCGAAAGTGAGCCTGGTAACTCAAATAGCATCCGATTCCATGATAGACATCGGATGGCAAATAGCGTCCATCGCTCTGCTGTGAAGGTACAGTATGAGGAATGGGCGGATAAGATAGGATAGAATCGACGTAATGATCTTTCCAGCACATAGCGAACACTCGCGGTGCCCGGGCAAATAGGGCGCGCGTGCCTTGGGCCAAAGGCAACGGCGCGCGCGAGCTATGCTCCCGATACTATAACATCTCCCAAAGACCTACCCTTAAAGTCGGGGGGGGAGGAGACGGAGAGCATAGTCGCACGCAAAGGTCGCGCGCACGACTGTTTGCAAAAAAGAAAACAGTGCGTACAGTCTGGCCTAACACCAGACTGCAAGGCGAGTTTCCTCGCAAAGTATTTCACGCAAATACAAGACAGCCCCTTCAAACAATGAAGGGCTATCGGCTCAGTTAGAGGTAAGCCAAACAGGCCATACCTCACCAAGCAAATGTGTATTAAGGCAAAGAGCCTGAGTTGTACGAAGCCGGCTCGTTGCCAGGCGTGAAATATAAGGCTCGTTTCCGAGCAGCTGGAGGGGCGCCTTTATAGTAGGCGCCCGTGCTGGCAAATTGGACCGCGAGGGCAACAAGGACAGACTAAAATTGATTAGGCTTAGGTTTGTCTCTGTCCTCGGGGCCCCGAAAGGGAACAAATTGCTTCACGTCATACTTAAATGACTGAGTGCCTGACATCACTTCCAGAAGCAGCTCCCGATCGATGCTTCCCTTTGTATGCCCATCAGCGGTCATATCCCTAGTATCACACCATTGCACATTATGTACTATACCTATATCCATGAGCTCACGTATCCAGCTGATATGTCCAAGCAGAGTCCGTTCTGTAGGTATTTTGAGATCCCTGCTTGATAAAGATTTGTAGACGGACTCGGCGTCTATGGTAAGAGAGACTTTGATAGCTAGGCCTCCAACTTCACGCATGTCTCGTAGTTGTCGTGGAGTCAAAGCCCCTGCCTTAAGCTCGTGGAGAGTAATGAGCGTAGGGTAACACTCATCAAGGTTATGTGCGGCTGCAAGTGCCTCCGCAGCATAACTGGACCTCACCTGTAATCGGTGTGATTTGCATAGTCCGTCACAGAGGTGAACGACGGACTTGCCTTGAGGCGAGTTTCCTCGCCGTAGTACGTTGGCCCCGCGTATGCCGTAGCCCTTGGTCTCGTCATCCTCCTCCCCGGTAAGCTTCCGATACCCCGAATCGCTATGGATGTCAACTTCATTCGTCGGCTTCATCCGAGGGAAGGTGATACGTTTCGGGCTGCTGATCAGCTTTCGCGTCACAGCATTCAAACGTCTGACTTGCAGATTGGTGGGCTCTTGAATTTTCTGAAGAGAGACCACGTATACCATGAGCCAGATTTGGGTAAGAAGGGCATAGGCGAGGGCTCCTCGCAGGTTGACGAACATGTCGGTGATGAGTTTCGTGGCTTTGGCATCGGCCGCCGCTCCTGTAAGTTCTGGGTGTGTGATAGGACGTAGTTGTTTGATCTACTCGTCCTGGTCCATGATCACATCTCCTTGATCATTCTTAGCGCAGCGAACGGCGCAGTTCGTATATGTGTGCTTGTTGAGCTTGCATTTGCCAAACACCTTTTCGACACGTTGTACATAGTCGTCTATATTTTTCTCTAGACCTGTCATGTTAATATCATCGACATGTTTTGCCGTCAGAAGGTCTTGGCTGAATTCAAATTCAGGATCGTAGCTGGTCGGTGCAAGTCCTATAGCTCGTGTGGTCGTACGAAGTTTGAGAGAGAACGCTCTTGGAGCGTCCTTTGTACCCGTTCCTGGTTTGAGGCATCTAAGACAGTGTCGACTTTCGTCGTAGGATGAGAAGCCGGGTAATGTACGAAGTACCTGAGCACTTCCTGGTGGAAGAGTAAAGCAAACCATGCGAGTTTCCTCGCCGGTGGCATGGGCAAGTTCCTCATAGGTCAAACCCTTGAGGAACGCCTTATCGATATCCATGGATGCTAAGATCCACTCTGGATGGCATGCCGCTTCACTTGCCAGGAGTCGTTGGGACTGCCTTCGGGCGGTTCCCGAGAATGTTTCCACATCAAAAGCCTCAGTATCCATAAATCCACGAAGGACCAGTCTGAGACGAATGGTTTTAACGTTCTCGGTACCCATCTTTACGAACTTCCACTTGTATACATACCTGGATGTCATGATGTTGGAAGCTTTGGATAAATCATACATCTCAAAGCATCGGTTATCAATCCAGATTTTGAGCTCAGTATACAAAGCTTCACTAACCTCCTTTGGATGTGCTGCTATGTCGGCTTTGGTCAGTAGATCATCTTCTTTGACAACCACAGCACGTTTAGCAGCAGAGGATACATATACTCTCATCGTTGCGACCATATCGGTATCGAGCTGTGCAAGTTGAGTCTGATCCAACACTATTTTTGACATTTCTGATGTAAAGCATAATTCAACGTAAGGACCATATTCATCACTGTCAAGAGAGTAGCTCTCGTCGGTTGTGGTTGAACAAAGAGAGACTAGACAGGACTCACGTGATTTCGGCTCGTCTCCGAGCATATCTGATGATATAATATCATCTTCGTCCACAAATGCTGAAACCAAAACACATTGGTCGGGCAGCATAATTGTTGGGACGCAATAAAGATAATCATCGGTAATCGTCGTAGGATGAAGGTCCATACGTAGCTAGTCGTACCACTCTTCCAGCATCATAGCTTCGATATTGTGTTCCTCATTTTCCTCATAGATTGTCGACAGACGGCCTTCACTCGGCGATGAAGCATCTGGTGTGTCTGGAGAAGGCCTGTTTCCAGGCGACTCGTGTTCTCCAGACGTGTTGCTTGAATGCTGATATTTAACCAAATCGTCGTGAAATCCTAAGGAAGGGACACGTGAAGTCAAGCATTGAATAAGTCTGGAGTGAGTGCTACCAGTGATCTGAGAAATGTTTAAGCCGGTGCCCACACATTCGTAATAGTGGAACGCCGGGCTGATGTCGTTGTCATAGTGGATCAGCGTAGACCCGGTGGCGTACTTTACTGCAGGTAGGCTTGACACACTCTTAGCCAATCGAACTGCTACTACATGTTCTACTCGGAAGTAATTTCGTACGAGATACTGTAGTGCTAAGTGTACGCGCGGGTGAAACTTGCTGTCGTCTGACAGATTAAGGTTTCCCTTGTAATCGGGATATAACCGAAAACTTTGGCAGGTTTCCCTGCGCTGAGGTGTGCCACATAAGC